AGAGAGAGAGAGAGATGGGGGAGGGCACGAGGGGACAGACACCCTGAAAATGCAGAAGCAAAAAGTAGAAGAAGGAGTTATGGAGTCAAATGGACCAGTTGGATGGTTCGTAGCAAGGAAGCCATGGAATGTACTAGAAGAGGCAAGAGCTAGACACGAAAGGAAGCCACTGCCTAGCTTGTCGCGCTTCATTTACGGGCCTACAATAACTGCCTCCCCCTGCCCCGCCCCCGCCCCCCACAGCTTTCCCGAGGCGATTTGCACTAAGCCTTTGCTCTAATGGAAATGCCCCCCAATGTCCTTTCCTCCACACTTCAATTCGGACCCCAGCAGGGACATGCTTCACTTCCTCCTACCACAGCAGTCACCTCCTGACAGCTCCAAGCTAGGAGAAAAGCTGCTATTTCTCTTGAGAGAGAGAGAGAGAAAAAAAAAAACCCGTCTCTCAGACATTTGGGGCTGTCGACGTTGTTTCTTCACCTGGGCCGTGGTTTTCGGGGTGTTCGTGAGCACGTATTTAAGCTGTTCCTACACTTCCTGCACCCTACTCTGCATATCTCACAGTTTCGACAGTGGAGGGGGACTCTCTCCCCAAAGTTGAATAACACTTTAGCTGCTCAAGACAAAGAAAGAGAAACCCTTTCGAGTCTGTCTTTCACAGGACAGCCCATTGGATATCAGAAACCTTACTTTGGAATTAACCCCTCATTCTTCCAAGTCTTTCCAGAAAAAAAAGGGGGGGTCCCATGGCCAGAGTGACCATGGCGGTTCTGGTCTCTCTAGACCTCCTGTCAAGCCTCTCGGCATGGCACAGACCCTGTCCCTTCACCCTCAATGGCAGCGCCGAAGTACAGACAGGCAAGGAGCTAGATGAAGGTTGTTTATTGAGGGGGACCCAGAGCTCGTCCTGGGCTCAGCCCTTGCTGCCTATGGTCTTCTTGATCCAGTCCAGGTAGCGGCAGAGGTTAGTGTAGACGCCGGGTCTCTGGGGCTTCCCACAGGGGTCTGATCCCCAGGATGTGATACCCTGGAGAACTCCATCACACACCAGAGGGCCCCCGGAATCGCCCTGGAGGGGGAGCAGAGGGAGAGTTTCACCTGAGATGCCTTCCTAAGTAGCCAGCACTTAGTACCTGCCCTGCGAAGTGATCGGTCCCCTCCAGCCAATGGGGCTAAGAGCCTTGTCCCCTGGAGCCTAGAGTTTGCTCGGGGAGAGAGAGATTGTGAGAGAAATGGGAGGACTTCCAGGGATGAGGTCATGGAGAGGGTGCCTGAGGACGATGAGGAAAATCCTGACCCACGAGAGAAGAGAACACTCTCAAGGAGGCAGCGGGGACTGAACTGATGTCTCTTCCAATTCTGGCCTCTGGTGAAGGGATCAGGGAACCCAGTTATCAAGCATGGGATAAAGGTGCAGGATTCTTGTGAACACACACACACACACACACGCGCGCACGCGCACGCACACACGCACACAATGGTGGGAGTCCCTGTGCAGAGACACCAGTGTTTCCACGAGCCATCCAGAGAGACTGGATTTCATGGCGCGATCACTAATAGAAATGACTGCATTCCTGGCCAACGGGGAAGAAAAAGCATTGAAGCGTCGTCTTCAAGGACCAATAGCTGGGGGATGGGGGGTGGGGAGGGGGCTTCCATGAAGGGGACAAAGCCGGGAGAGCCTCGAGAACTGGCCTTGCAGCCAGCGGGAAGGAAAGGGAGTGTTACATCTATGGCAGAACCCCAGGTTTGTCATCTTGAGGATGGGGAGTCACAGAGGGAGCACTGAGGTCCGTGCTGCCATTGCCTGGCCATGTGGGGACACAGCAATGCTCCCCTAAGGGACCAAGGCCGTTGTGCTGGGGAACCCAGTCAGGCACCCAAAAAAGTGGCTGGTCAGTCACCCGCTTTAGCCCCTTCCGTGCCCGAACTGCCCCCTGCAGGCCAGGGATCCCGGGACAATGACAGAGACAATCCGACGTTCCTGACCCCTGCGCTGTGTGACCTGCAGGAAGACTGTGGCCCAGCACCCCGTAAACATAGGCCCAGCCGCCCTGGGTGCTGACTCTTTGGGGGTCACCCCGCTGCTGCCACATCTCCAGGGGCCGCAGGGGCTGACGGAGGAGGGAGGAAAAAATCTTTCGGATTGGTTCCTTCGGAAGTCACTCACCTGGCATGAGTCCGCCCCTCTGGTGTCCCCTGCACAGATCATACCCTCTGAGACCTGCCCAGGATAGACGTCCTCACATTGCTTCAGGGGAAAGACTTCTACTTCCGCACAGTTGAGGGTATCCGGAAAGTTCTCTGAGGAGGCAGAGGTGGTTCATTCCCAGAGAGAGAGAGAGACACCCCCTCTCCCCCACCCCCGATCCTGGCCTGGATCCAATCTGCCCCCTGTGCATCCACAGCGGACACGTTTCACAGGCAAACAGAGCCACACACCCTGCTTCCTCCTGGGTCCCTTTTAAATTAACGACGAGGGGACCGCAGGACTTCGAAGTGTCCCCTTATGACACCTCTGACCTTCTCTCTCTCCAATCTTCTGACCCGAGTCCTCCATCTCAGCGGAAGCCTACTTCTTCCGAATGTCACCTCCTCTTAGAAGCCGTCCCTGACCGTTCTAATTAAAACCCCGCCCCTCCTTCCCTCCTCGTCCTCACCCTCTGTGACCATTATAGCTCTTTACCTCATGTTTCATTTCGTACGTATGTGATCTTTGTCTATTTCCCCCGCCTAGCATGCAGCTCCACGAGGATAGAAACTCACACTGCACGGCACCTGTGCTCACAATCCCAATGCTCACAGCAGCTTTGGGCAGGAGGGCGGCCCGCCTCCTTCCATCATTCACTCACCCCCCTAATCATTCCACACATATCCATCGAGCACCCTCCTGAGCACCAGGGACGCACGACGAACACACAACGGAGAAGAAAACAGCTAGAAGCAGCGCCTTCGCGGAGCTTAAAAGTCTTAAAAATTGGTTAGTTATTTGCATTTTGCAGACGAGAAATGTGAGAGGTGGGAAGGGACTTTCCCAGAGAAAAGGGCAGAGCCACAGTCTGCCCGGATCTGCCTGATCCACGAGCGGGCCAGTGTCCACAGCCTCCCACTGGGTTCCTAGAAGTGAGAGTCGGACAGGCAGGGGCCTGAAGCCCGGAGCTGCTGCTTCCTGGTGAATCACGCTGCCTCCCTGAGCTGAGCCCAGTGTCTTCCCTGGGAAGCAGGGTGAGGGGCCACCTGGACTTCGATGTCCCAAAGGGAGGACCTCGATGGAGGTCCAGCATGAGGAGTGACCTGGGGACCTAAACTGTAGGTCCTGAGGCAGCAATGGCTGGACTCCTGGGTGTGATGGGAGATGGTGTGTGGAGTCAGGAATCCCAGGTTTAAGAGGAAGAAGGTGCTTAGAAGTCTGTTTTCTTGGGATCCTGTATATACCAAGTCTGTTAATGAGATTGTATAAAGTACACTACAGCAAAGGGTCTCAGAACATAGCATTCTCCACCATAAGGAGGGATGCGTTCATCTATCCATCCATCCATCATCTATCCATCCATCCATCCATTCACCCACTCATCCATCATCCGTCCATCATCCATCTGTCCATCTATCCATCCATCCATCCATCCATCCATTCATCATCCATCCACCATCATCCATCATCCATCCATCATCCATCCATCATCCATCCATCATCCATCCATCCATCCATCCATCCATCATCCATCCATCCATCCATCCATCATCTCTTCTTCCATCCATCATCCATCCATCCATCATCCATCCATCATCCATCCATCCATCCATCCATCATCTCTTCTTCCATCCATCCATCATCCATCCATCATCCATCCATCCATCCATCCATCATCTCTTCTTCCATCCATCCATCTATCCATCCATCCATCATCCATCCATCATCCATCCGTCATCCATCCATCCATCCATCCATCCATCATCCCTCTACCCATCCATCCATCCACCCATCCACCCACCCACTCACCCATCCATTCATCATCCATCCATCCCTCCCTCCCTCTGTCCTTCCCTCCCTCCCTCCATCCATTTTCTTGAGCCTCGCCTGACAATGTCATGTGTCAGTTTGCTTCCTTTCTCCACCACTCCTACTAATATTCTGGCCTTCAAGGTCCCTAATATGGGCCGCTTGTTAATCTCAACCTCGCGGTCACTGCCCCTTCTTTATTTCCTTCTGGAAGTGAAGCTTTGCCAATGGCTTGGGGTCCAGCGGGCCCACCAGCTCCTCCTCTCCCTTCCGCTACCTTGGGGGCTGGTAACAGTGCCCCAGCCCGAGATGGTGCACTTCTGGCCAACTCGAGGGCAGTGGTCTGTCAGGTTGATGGGCTTCACTTTGGGCCCTAGGGATGCGGGACTGCGCAGCCGAATGAGCATCAGGTCGTGATTGTGGTTATCGCTGCCGCTGTTGTAGCAGGGGTGTGGGATGGATTGAGCCACAGCCTTTTCTTGCTCCGGCTCATCCTTTTTGTGCAGACTGTGATCTCCCAGGCGTACTGTGTAACTCCTGCAAAGATGCGGACGGGTAGTTTGGGACCCGGGCAGGAGTCCGAAACCCCAGCCTCCTCATATCTCAGAGTCCAGGCCCCCAGCCCCTCCTGCCTCGCACCCGGGAGTCCGGGCCCCTTAGTCCCATCTTTGCTCGGACCTCCTCTGGGCCTCGGCCTCTTCCTCCCCCCAGCCCGGCCCGCCTCTGTGCGTCCACTCACAAGCATCCACTCACGGTTTTTTACAGTGGGCTGCTGTGATGATCCAGTTGTCGTCTATGAGGACGCCCCCGCACACCAGCCGGTCGCCCTGAAACAAGGCTGACTGCCAGGGCTGTGAGTGGGCTTCACACTCCTTGCCGCCCAGCACCTTGGGCTCCTGTGCCCTCCAGTGTCCTGCAGCTGGAGGGAGAGTGTTGGGTTGCCACCCAGGGGGGCAGTTGTGGCAGGGGCAGGGCCGGGGGGGAAGGAGGGCAGGAAAACCACCGTGCGTTCCAAGGACACACCCCAAGTTCTCCGCCTGCCCTCCCCATGTGTCCACACACTCTCATGTGTGGGGCCCCTGGCTTTCACACGCCGCCACATGGACACACACGTACACCCATGGAGGCCAGTGAGTCATCACACAGGGCTTGCTTCACACGCTCCCACATGCGTCCACATGCCCTGTACGCCCGTGTGTGTGTGTGTGTGCGCGCGTGCCTCTCAGCAAGCAGCCCCACAGGCTTGCTGTGCTCATGCAAATTTGCAGCATGACCTGACACACTCCTACCTGCTGCCTGAGTGTGATGCTTCCACCCACCCTCAGGAGGGCAAGCCCACGGAAGGCCCCTCATACAATCGCATGCTCCAAATACCCCAACGCCCCCTCTCCCCACGTGCACCTACAGACTGCCACGGCATGCCCACAGCCCACACACAACACTGGCACCTTCTGGCCCTCCTCACCTGTGCAGGCTTCCAACAGCAGCAGGAACATCCAGGTCCACATTACAGCAGGCGGTGGGTGTCCCATGGTGGGGTCTGGGGGAGGGAGAGCAAGGGGCTGAGAGGCAAGGAGAGAGGAGCCGGAAATCTTAGTAGGACCTTGAGACTGCGGAGGGAGGGAGCACCTGGAGCTGTTCTGGGTCCTGCAGGAGGAAGGGGCTGGGATCCAGGTTTCTGGGTCTGAGGAGAGAGAGCAGGGGGCAGAGGGAATTGGATTCTTATATTCCCAAGGAGGAGGCAGTTGGGGTCCCGGACACCCTCTGAGATTTGGGGAAGAGGGGGCTGAGATTCCCCAGACGGGATCTGAAGTTGGGGTCTTGGGCCCGACCCCGGAGTCAGGTGCCAGCGTCTGCGAATTTAAAGTCCAGGGGGCGGGGTCACCTACTGATTCGGACCCGGAGGAAGAGGCCCCAAGACTTCAGCTATCTGCCAGGTACAGGGTTCTGGAGCCTTTTAACTGGGAGGCCCCGCCTCCCGCCCCGCCTCCTCTCCCTCCGGAGCTGGCCGAGCATCCCGCGGGGTGAGTGAGGAGGGGCCGAGGGGCTGAGGGGCCGAAGGGACGATCTTGAGAGGGGAGGGCCTGGACTCTCCGGCTCCGGAGGCTGGGGAGAGGGGCCCAGCGCTGCGACTAGGGGTCAGAAGCGTGGAGGACCGGGGGCCCGGACATCGGGGACCGAAGGAGGAGGAGGCTGGGGGCCGGGCCTCCCGACCCCGAGGAAGGAGGGGGCTGTGGGGCCCGGACTTTGGGACCTAGGCAGGAGGAGGCTGCTGCCAATCACCCCGGGTGGGAGACAGACAAGTCCTTGGTCCTGACACCTGGGGGCGGATCTGTGCCGCCTATTGTCCCCCGGGAAGGCAGGTTTGGGAGGCACCGTGACCTGGTTTCCCCTTTCCCCGGAGGCGTCGTGACCGGCCCGAGCAGAACCCAGGAGGCTTGCTGCAATAGGGCTGGTGGAGGCAGACTCCGGACGGGACCGGCGACGGGCTCGAGGTAAGTCGCGAGGCGCGGGCGGTCCCCCG